AGTTTTTTTGGAGAGGCAGGGTCTTGTTCTGTCACCCAGGCTGGAGTGCAGTGGTGTGATCTTGACTCAGTGCAGCCTTGACCTCCCAGGCTCAAGCAGTCCTCCCACCTCAGCCCCTAGCCAGGACCGTGAAAGTGAGCAACCCACCTGGCTAATTTTTCTATTTTTTTTTGTAGAGATGAGCTTTTGCCATTTTGCTTTAGGCTTTTACCTTAATTTCTGAGGCGAGTTCTTCCACCTGGCCCCGCTGCTGGGATCATACGCCCGAGCCACCGCGCCCGGACAGTGTTCTCATTTTAAACAACATACCTTTGGAGGATATAAAATATGTAGATCCTATATTGCTGATGAAAATTGGGTTGCAAATTGACAGCTCACTGTGAAGGATTTTGTTTTGAGCCAATAACTCTCACTTATAAGCTGTATAGCTGGGCTGCTACTTCATCTCCTGACCCCAGGTTTCTGTATCTGATGAAGTTTTGACTTGAGTTTCACAGTTATAGGTACATTTGTATCTAAATGTGAAAAGATAAAACTTTAACACTCTTATAATATAAAGTAGTATTCATTTTGTGTCCTTTGAGTAGGGAAATATTTTTTGAACTAAGATTATAGCAGTAATTTATAAAGGCAAATGCAAAGGCTGGATTACATTAAAATTAAGAATTGATGTTTATCTAAAGATAAATACAAAAGCCTATACAAGCCTGGGCAACATAGCAAAACGCTGTCTCTACAAAAAATTAAAAATTAGGCCAGGTGTGTGGTTGCATACCTGTAGTCCCAGCTATTCAGGGAAACTGGAGGTGGGGGAGGATCGCTTGAGCACAGAGTTTGAGGTTACAGTGAGTTACCTCGTGCCATTGTACTCCAGCGCAGACAGAGCCAGACTTTGTCTCTTGCAAAGATTGGAGGCGGTTACAGGATAAGAGAAGATACTTACATGCCTTGCGTACCCACGCCTCTCCGTCCTCCGCTCTTCTCTTCTCTCTCTGTATATGCCTACATACACACATACACATCCAAGAGTATTCTTGATATATAAAATAATATATAAAAGACTCTATACATTAATAAGAAACTCAACAATGAAATAGTAAAATGAAAAGACTTGAATAAGTACTTTATAAAGGGAGATTATATTGGGCGTGGTGGTCACACTGTAATCCCAGCACTTTGGGAGGCTGAGGCGGGTGGATCACCTGAGATCAGGAGTTCGAGACCAGCCTGGCCAACAGTGAAACCCTGTCTCTACTGGAAATACAAAAAATTAGCTGGGCATGGTGGCAGGCACCTGTAATTCCAGGCAGTATGGAGGCTGAGGCAGGAGAATTGCTTGAACCCAGGAGGTGGAGGTTGCAGTGAGCTGAGATCGCACTCATTGCACTCCAGCCTAGGAACAAAAGAGAAACTTTCGTCTCAAAAAAGAAAAAAAAAAAAAGAGTATCAGTAAGGTCAGTAAACATATGTATGAGGAGGTTTCTTTCTTCAGTTATTCGGAAAATACAAATAAAATTCACAGTTGAGTACCACTGTACACCTACCAGAAAGACTAAAAGTTAAATGATGGACAGTATTAGGTGATGATGGAGATGTGAGAAATGGGAACTCTTGCATGTTGCATTTGGGAGTGCATATTGGTACAACCACTTTGGCAACAGTTGGTAATATCTATTAAATTTGAACTACATGTATCCTATGTGTCAGTAATTTCATTCTTAGAGGTATCTGTGTGTGCATGGATATTGTGGAGACCCATGTGCATATATGCACTAAATATCTGTGGCAAGAATATTAATAGCATTATTTGCAGTAGCCAATAATTAGAAAAAGCCACATGACCATCAGTGGTTATCAGTTTATAAATACATAAATATTTATAAGAAAACACTGAGTAGTAATGAAAATCAATGAGCTTCAGCTACATAGGCCCTTTGTTTGTTTATTTATTTAGAGACAGAGTCTCACTTTCTGTCACCCAGGCTGGGAGGCAGTGGTGCGATCTCAGTTCACTGCAATGATTCACCTGCCTCAGCCTCTGGAGGAGCTGGGATGCAGGTGACGACAACCACGCCTGGCCAATTTTTGTATTTTTAGTAAAGAGACAGGTTTCACCATGTTGGCCAGGTTGTTCTTAAAACTTGACCTCAGGTGATCTGTCTACCTTGGCCTCCCAAAGTGCTGAGATTACAGGAGTGAGCCACTGCCTGACTCTAGACTAATATATTTAAATCTCACAAAGTATGAGTGAAGTATAAAAAGATAAAACTCCTCAAATAGTGTATACTGTAGGATTGCATTTTTATACATTTGCAAACTGGTGAATAGGTATGCTATAGAAGCATAAACTAAAGCCCAGCAATGAAATAACTGCCATAAACACCATAATTGTGGTTACCTCTGGGCAATAGGGAAGATGTGGTAGTTGAAAAGGGCGCTTGGAGGCTGTCTTGTGCCAGGCAATATCTTGCCCCTTACAACTGGGCAGTGGGTCCTTTGGTGTTTGCTTTGTAATAATTCACAGAGCTGTGTGCTTGTGATTATGCATTTTCTACATGTGTGCTGTTTTTCAATAGGAAAGTTTAAAAAGATTGTTTTAGGCCAGGTGCGGTGGCTCACACCTGTAATCCCAACACTTTGGGAGGCCGAGGTGGGCAGATCACAAGGTCAGGAGATCGAGACCATCCTGGCCAACATGGTGAAACGGGGTAAAGGCTAAAAATATAAAAATTAGCTGGCGTGATGGTGCGCCCCTGTAGTCCCAGCTGCTCGGGAGGCTGAGGCAGGAGAATTCTTGACTCCTGGGAGGCGGAGGTTGCGGTGAGCTGAGATTGGCACCATTGACTCCACCCTGGGCAACAAGAGCGAAACTCTGTCTCAAACTAAAAAAAGATTGTTTTAAAAAATTAAAATCACTTCTAAAGGTGGAAGTGGCCAGGGCGCAGTGGCTCACGCCTGTAATCCCAGCACTTTGGGAGGCTGAGGCGGGTGGATCAGTTGAGCCAGAGCTCGAGAGACTAGCCTGACTAACATGGAGAAATCCTGTCTCTACTGCCAAAAAAAAAAAAGTAGCCGGGCGTAGTGGCACATGCTCACCCCAGCTCCCTTGGGAGGCTGAAGCAGAATCGCTGAACCCAGGAGGTGGAGGTTGCGGTGAGCCAAGATCACGCTATTGCATTCCAGCCTGGGCAACAAGAATGAAATCCTGTCTCAAAAAAACCAAAACAAAACTCAAAGCTCTAAAAATAAACAAAAAAGAAAAGTTCCAACCATAGATCGTGAATTTATGGCGTTATACATTCTATTTTTATGTTATTTTATTTTATTTATGAGACGGAGTCTAACTCTGTCTCTCAGGCTAGAGTGCAGTGGTGTGATCTTGGCTCACTGCAGCCTCCATCTCCCAAGTTCAAAGCAATTCTCTTGCCTCAGCCTCCCGAGTACCTGGGATTACAGGTACCTGCCACCACGCCAGGATAATTTTTGTTATTTTAGTAGAGGTGGGGTTTCACCATACCGCTTGCAAGTGGTCCTAACTCCCGGTCTCATGACCACCCATCCCATCCCCCCAAGATCCACATGGTGTGGACACATGCCTGGCTGCATTTATTTTAAATCCTATCAATATGTATTTTTGGTTTTATTGCGGATTTTACTTGTAGCTGAAAAGGAAATCTAAGTGTAACACCAGGCTGGAGTGCACCTTATACCGGCACTTAGAGCACAGTACATCCTTCCCAGCCGCATATATAGTGATGTCACATTGGTAGGTTCAGATTGGCCATGGTGAGTATTATACCATGGAAACGGAATAATTCATAAATCAAGGTTTCTCCACCTTTCTGGAAGCTGGTTATTAAACATCTACTAGCATGCCACTGCTATCACCATATTGTGTGAGAAGTCTACAAAGAATATACGTTATTGGCCTATGGCTCATGCCTGTAATCCCAACACTTTGGGAAGCCGAGGTGGGTGGGTCATGAGGTCAGGAGTTCAAGACCACCCTGGCCAAGATGGTGAAACCCTGTCTCTATCAAATTATTGGGTGCAGTAGCAGGCACCTGTAATCCTGGTTACTGGGAGGTTGAGGCAGAAGAATCGCTTGAACCCAGGGAGGTGAAGGTTGCAGTGAGCCGAGATTGTGCCACTGCACTCTAGCCTGAGTGACAGAGTGAGACTCTGTCTCAAAAAAAAAAAAAAGAATATAATGCTGGACTATATTTTTACTTATTTTTCTCATAATAATATAAACAGCACATAGCTACTTACTTAGATCTATTCACAAAGATGAACTTTTGGGGAAGAAATTATTTATGTAAATATAATTTCATCTTTTTTTTTTCCCTGAGACAGAATTTCCATGTGTCACCCAGGCTGGAGTGCAGTGGTGTGATCTCGGCTCACTGCAACCCCTGTCTCCTGGGTTCAAGCGATTTCGCCTCCTCAGCCTCCCATGAAGTGGAACTACAGGCACGTGCCACTACACCCAGCTAAGTTTTGTATTTTTAGTAGAGACGGGTTTCACCATGTTAGCCAGGATGGTCTTGGAACTCCTGACCTGGTGATCCACCAGCCTCGGCTCCCAAAGTGCTGGGATTACAGGTGTGAGCCACTGTGCCTCTGCCAATTTCTGCCTTCATTGAGAGGCAGGTTAAATATAACTGCTCGGTAATTAACTTGTGTCAAGTAGTCTTTAGCCATTTTAATCTCAAATTATTTTACTTCTTTGTGTCTTTCAATTATATCTTTAAAATCAAGATGTTAATAGTACTCCTCAAAATGAGTTTAATACAAGTATGAGTGTTTAGAATAGTGAGTACTCAATAAATTTTGCTGTTGAATAACAATCATATTGCTTTATTGCAAATATTCATTTTTTAATGCATTTATTATAGAAAGACTGGAGAAATTCTTCAGCTGTATTTTAATGAATACTTAAAAGCTAAATTACTTGGAGCATTTTCAAGATGATATTTATTTCATTATTTTATTTTTAGGTGATTCTCCTAAGGAGTGGAAGGCTAAGACAGTGCTATGATGACATTGATAATTTGCTCATTCCAGCACCAATTCAGCAGATGGTCACAGGGTGTCAGACTGTTCACTCAGTACAACATCCAGAAAAGCAATGACTGTGAAGGAGTTCAGCAGCTGCCACACAGGGCAAGTGAGTAGAATCAGTTTGCTATTTCTGTTTCCTTCAAAATTTATGTAAATATGTTAAGAACAAAGTAGACAGAGAGCTTTATAAAATGAAAAGCAGGAGTCTCCTGCAAATGTCTTTCACCCCTTCATTTAACTGCTTTCTGTTTTCTGTTCTTTAGGTGGTTGCCTAAACATTTGGCTTAGTGTTAAAGAAATTGCTTTTATTATCTCATTCATAGTAGCTATAAATGGAACTTTATTCCATAGTTGCCATGAGTTTTGATTCTACACATGATTCATGTTTGTTGGGCAAAGTGGTGTATATTTGTGTAAAATGTTTAAGCCTTTAAATGATTTGTATGTATAGGAAAATTAGTACTTTTAAAAGCAAACTTTTTGAAAGACTAGAAAGGCCACCATTGCATTAGTTATTTATTGTTGTGTAATAAATTATCCGAATTGGCTGGGCGCAGTGGCTCGCGCCTGTAATCCTAGCACTTTGGGAGGCTGAGGCGGGCGGATCACCTGAGGTCGGGAGTTCAAGAGCAGCCTGATCAACATGGAGAAACCTGCCCCCACTAAAAATACAAAATTAGCTGTGCGTGGTGGCTGATGCATGCCTGTAATCCCAGCTTCAGGAGGCTGAGGGCAGCAGAATTGCTTGAAACCGGGAGGCGGAGGTTGCGGTGAGCCAAGATTGCGCTATTGCACTCCAGCCTGGGCAACAAGAGCGAAACTCTGTCTAAAAAAAAAAAAAAAAAAAAAAAATTATCCCAAATCTTAGCTACTTAAACCAACCTTACAATTTCTAAGGCTGTGAATCTGAGAGTGGCTTAGCTACGAGAGTTCTGCCCCTCAGGGTCTCTGAGGTTGCAGTTAGGTGTTGCCTGGCTGCAGTCATCTGAGCATTTAATTGTGGCTGGAAGACTTTCATAAGAGTGCTCCCTCTCTGCGGCTTTTGATGGGGCCCTCAGTTCCTTGTTATATGGACTGTTCCTCATGTTGTGGCAGCTGGCTTCTCCCTTATGAACAAGTGATCTGAGAGAGCTTGCAGCAAGAAGGAAGCCATACATGTTTTTCCTTTCCTGTTTCAGAAGTGGACACACTGTCACATCTGGCATATTCTTTTGTTCCAAGCTAGTTGGTGTTTAGCTCCATTCAAGGGGAGGAGAATGAGCTCTACTTCTTGAAGGAGGAGGCTAAATGAATTTGTGGGTATATTTAAACATTGTCACAATTATTATTAAACTTCTTTTAAAAAATTCTGATATGATAGTTAAGGCCCCAGAACAAAGCATAAATCTAACAAAACAAAATAAAACAAAACTGAAAGACCAAACCAGAAATCATAGTTTCCGACTCCTGATGGGTGTGAATGAGATTAAGACTTTGGGTGAATTTAGGTATCTTCCTTTTAAAAAATTATATTTGGATATTGTAAGCACATGATGCTACATGAAGACTCTTATTTCTGCATGTTAAATTCACTATGAAATATCTCTGGCTATTCCAGAGAAATTGAAAATTTTATATTTGGCTATAATTTGAATTCATTTCTTTTGAATTTTGGGGTAGGTATTAATAAGAGTTTTTTTATTCTTTCAGATCTATTAATCTATAGAACATGGAAATTTAGCTAAGATTGAAGTATTTTTCGAACTCTTCCAGAATTCTTTATAAGTACAATGCTGTTGAAACAAGATTGCATGAAGCAATTAAACTCGTTTACGAGCATAAACTATTGATTGTTTTCTGTTACTATGTTTTAGTACTCCATTTCAGTGTCCTCTTAAAGTGTTAATCGTAATAGGTTAGGTCATTGAGAATAATCTTCTGCTTGGCTCCCTTTGATATTTGGCGATAATTTGTACTTAAAAGTAATCAGATTTATATCACTAAAACTATGGTTAATACTTAATAATTATCATAACTTAAGTAGGAAAGGTACAAAGTACATGAGGTTTCAAAGGAATACAAAGCTTCTGTGGTTGTTTATAAGTACTGTAATTTCTAGAAGTAATTGTTGAGATAGATTTTGAAGGATGCTGGTCAGAAACATTTCTAACAGTTACAAAAGTAATATGCGCTTATTTAAAATTTCCAAAATAGGCTTAATGTAGCCTCACTTGTAATCCCAGCACTTTGGGAAGCCGAGGTAGGTGAATGCTTGAAACCCAGGAGTCTTAGATCAGCCTGATGACATGGCAAACCCCATCTCTACAACAAATAAAAATTAGCCAGGCAGGTGGTATGTACTGTAGTCCCAACTACTCAGGAGGCTGGAGGATTGCTTGAGCCTGGGAGGCCGATATACAGTGAGTCGTGGATTATACCCACTGCACTGCAGCCTAGGTGACAGAGCAAGACCTCATCTTGAAAAAAATATCAAATAAATTAAAATATAGCAATATATAACTTTAACTTTGAGAGGCAATCATTGTTTGTATTACTTGGCAATTCAAAATATTGTTAAGACTTGAGACTTGAAGTCTGCTCTTCTCTCGTTATAAAGAAACTTTGATCATCCTCTCTAGCCCATTTGATTATTGCAGCATGGTATCGGTTTTCTACTTCAAGATAATTTTACTGAGTACTAATTTTTATATATATCTCTATAAATTATTACTCTACTGGCTTGCCAGTAGATTTACTCTTTCTGAAGATAGCCATTCAGGTGACATTGTTTTGTATCACTGTGTGCACAGTGCTTGCATAGTGTCTGGGATATGGTAGGTGCTTTTTCTTTTTTTTTTCTTTTTTTTTTTTGAGACGGAGTCTGGCTCTGCCGCCCAGGCTGGAGTGCAGTGGCCGGATCTCAGCTCACTGCAAGCCCGCCCGGGCTTACGCCATTCTTCCTGCCTCAGCCCCGGAGGCTGGGACTACAGGCGCCCGCTACCTCGCCCGGCTAGTTTTTTGTATTTTTTTAGTAGAGACGGGGTTTCACCGTGTTCTCACAGATGGCCCCGGAACTGACCTCGTGATCCGCCTCCCGTCTCGGCCTCCCAAAGTGCTGGGATTACAGGCTTGAGCCACCGCGCCCGGCCTGGTGCTTTTTCAATATATATTGATGGAATGAATAAATAGTGTTAGTAAAAACTAAAATACATTTAAAATGGTATAAATTTTAGGCAAATTGTAAAGATTTACTATTAAGAGAATATACATTTCTGACATTCTGGAGTTTAGAGATGTTTTAAAAAAATTGTTGGCTTTTTTTTTAGTTGTAAAATGTAAATTCATTATGGGAAATTATTTGAAAAATTATTTCTAGCTTTAATTTTCTTTTCTTTTTTTTTTTTGAGATGGAGTCTCGCTCTGTCGCCCAGGCTGGAGTGCAGTGGCCGGATCTCAACCCACTGCAGCCTGGCCTCGGTCTACGCCATTCTCTGCCTCAGCCTCCTGAGCAGCTGGGACTGCAGGACCGCCACTCGCCCGGCCAGTACTTTGTATTTTTAGTGGAGACGGGGTTTCACTCGTGTTAGCTAGCATGGTCTCGATTCTGACTCGTGATCTCGCCTATCTTGGCCTCCTAATAATTTTTATTTCTTTTTGCTAATTTTACGCTGGGTACAGTGGTTCACGCCTGTAATCCCAACACTTTAGGAGGCTGAGGTGGGAGAATTCCTGAGCCAGGAGTTCAAGACCAGCCTTGGTCAACAAAGGAGATCCCGTCTCTACAAAAAATAAAAAATTAGCCTTGCATGGTGGCATGTGTCTGTAGTCCCAGCTACTCGGAGGCTGAGGCAGAAGGATTACTTGAGCCTGGGAAGCTGAGGCTTCAGTGAGTCGTGATTAAACATTGCCCCCGAGCTCAAAGGTGATAAAGCAAGATTCTGTCTCAAAAAAAAAAAAGTTAATTTGTCTTTTTACGATTATTTCATTACAATTGTAATGTTAAACAACTTTTGAAATTCATATTGTTGTATTTCTTCTGCCAGTTTCATGTAGAAATTTATTTTAAATGCCAAGGAAATGGATTTCTAAGCCTCAAGAATCCAAGGCTTTACTTGTCCACACAGAGCTGTGCCAGGTGATCACCTGTTGTGGAAATGGTCATGTTATGAGATTAATTTTTACTGAGACTGGGAGGTTTTCTGCTGGCCTTTTTTTTTTTTTTTTTTTTGAGATGGAGTCTCACTCTGTTGCCCAGGATGGAGTGCAGTGGCGTGATCTCGGCTCACTGCAACCTCTGCCTGCTGGTTTCAAGTGATTCTTCTGCCTCAGCCTCCCGAGCAACTGGGACCACAGGCTCGCGCCACCATGCCCGCGGCATTTTTTGTGTTTTAATGGAGATGAGGTTTCAACATGTTGGCCAGGCTGATCTCTAACTGTTGACCTCTGATCCGCCCACCTCGGCCTCCCAAAGTGCTGGGATCTTTCCATTCATCTATTTTTCAGCACATGCTCTGGCATTGGCACATGTCCTGCGTGCCTGGGGTCTTAGCAGTAGAGAAGATGACATGCTCATTTGGTTGATAATGCAATGTAGTCCAAAGTCAACTTAGAGATTTCCGATGTAACTCTAATATAAAAATTTATAAATTTTGCATGAATCACTTACATTACTGATGTGTACTTTCCTCTAGGCACAGAGCCAAGTGCTTTCCATAATTATCTGATGGAGCTCTCACAACAAGTTTAGCTGTATTTATCCCTACTTCAGAGGAATAACTGAGTTCCAGAGAAATTCAGCTCTGTCCAGGGTTACATGGCTTATGAATGGAAGCCTGAATTTAAACATGCTAGCCTGGCCTGGAACTCACCTCCCGGGAACTGTGCCGAGTGAGTGAGAGGTTCTGGGTAAGAAGATATGGTTGAATCAGTATTGGGCAAATTTACACTGGATTTGTGGAACAGCTGTGATTGTTGGACAGTCCATTAGGGAAGGAAGGGCCTTGATCAGATACTAGCCATGTGAACTGGTCATTTTTTTCTAGTTGAGAATTAATATTTGTTTAATATATTTAAGGATTTTAGGTTTTAACTTCAATGGACAATACCAAACTTTAAGTTTCTCTTAGAGTTATGAGTTTCTTTAAAACATACTGCACGTGCCTGTAATCCCAGCTCCTTGGGAGGCTGAGGCAGAGAATCGCTTGAACCCAGGAGGTGGAGGTTGCAGTGAACCGAGATCATGCCACTGCACTCCAACCTGGGTGACAGAGCAAGACTCTGTCTCAAAAAAAAAAAA